GGTTTACCAGGAAAAATGACAGAATATAGACTTTGCCCATTTAACACAGAGGATGGCATACGATTAATAAGGTGACAAGCAGTAAAAACATCACTCTAAAAATATCGAAAAATATTCATCTGAAATAATAAGACATGGGTGACTTCCAACAAATGACGGTTCTTGCGTTCAACAACACCGTTCTGTGGAGATGTGTAAGCACAGGAAGTCTGATGAATAATGNAGAAAAAATAAGGGTTTACCAGGAAAAATGACAGAATATAGATTTTGCCCATTTAACACAGAGGATGGCATACGATTAATAAGGTGACAAGCAGTAAAAACATCACTCTAAAAATATCGAAAAATATTCATCTGAAATAATAAGACATGGGTGACTTCCAACAAATGACGGTTCTTGCGNAAACATCACTCTAAAAATATCGGGGAATATTCATCTGAAATAATAAGACATGGGTGACTTCCAACAAATGACGGTTCTTGCGTTCAACAACACCGTTCTGTGGAGATGTGTAAGCACAGGAAGTCTGATGAATAATGTCAGCTTTATTAAGATAAGCTGAAAAAGGATCGAATTCATATTCCCGAGTATTATCAGAACGTAAAATACGGATACGACAACCATACTGAGTTTTTATTTCCTTACGAAAGGTCTCAAATATAGAGANCATGGGTGACTTCCAACAAATGACGGTTCTTGCGTTCAACAACACCGTTCTGTGGAGATGTGTAAGCACAGGAAGTCTGATGAATAATGTCACCTTTATTAAGATAAGCTGAAAAAGGATCGAATTCATATTCCCGAGTATTATCAGAACGTAAAATACGGATACGACAACCATATTGAGTTTTTATTTCCTTACGAAAGGTCTCAAATATAGAGAATAATTCAAACCGAACTTTCATCAGAAACAACCAAGTCACACGAGAATAGTCATCCATAAATGACACAAAATAAGGATATTTATTAGATGAAATATTCTTTATTGGACCCCATACATCAGAATGTACCAACTCAAATGGACTAGACACACGATTATTGACTTGAGACTGAAATGACACACAGTGATGCTTACTAAGTTGACACGCTTCACAAGACAAAGACGACACAGAAATAAGACTGGGAACTTGGTGTTTCAGATTCTGAAGAGAGAGATATTCAAGACGATAATGCCATTGAAAAGGAGATAACGAGGTCTATAGAGNAACTGAACTTTCATCAGAAACAACCAAGTCACACGAGAATAGTCATCCATAAATGACACAAAATAAGGATATTTATTAGATGAAATATTCTTTATTGGACCCCATACATCAGAATGTACCAACTCAAATGGACTAGACACACGATTATTAACTTGAGACTGAAATGACACACAGTGATGCTTACTAAGTTGACACGCTTCACAAGACAAAGACGGCACAAAAATAAGACTGGGAACTTGGTGTTTCAGATTCTGAAGAGAGAGATATTCAAGACGATAATGCCATTGAAAAGGAGATAACGAGGTCTATAGAGCCCAAGTAAGTGAATCAAAATCAAAGTAATATAGGCCACCAACTTCATGCCCTGTATCAACCTTCCTCTTTGTCTTAAGATCCTGAAAGACACAATAAGAAGGATAAAAAGTTACAAAACAATTGAGAGAACGGGTAATTTTGCTAATGGAAAGTAAACTAAAAGGAAACTGGAGAACAAATAATACAGAAGATAGGGATATATCAGGACTCAAGTTAGTAGTCCCCAAACCTGAAATTTTAGAACAAGTGTCATTAGCAAAAGTAACACTACGTGTGGAACGAGCAGACTAATAAGTACAAAAAATATCGGACGCACTAGTAATGTGATCAGAAGCGCTAGAGTCTATGATNATAATGCCATTGAAAAGGAGATAACGAGGTCTATAGAGCCCGAGTAAGTGAATCAAAATCAAAGTAATATAGGCCACCAACTTCATGCCCTGTATCAACCTTCCTCTTCGTCTTAAGATCCTGAAAGACACAATAAGAAGGATAAAAAGTTACAGAACAATTGAGAGAACGGGTAATTTTGCTAATGGAAAGTAAACTAAAAGGAAACTGGAGAACAAATAATACAGAAGATAGGGATATATCAGGACTCAAGTTAGTAGTCCCCAAACCTGAAATTTTAGAACAAGTGTCATTAGCAAAAGTAACACTACGTGTGGAACGAGCAGACTAATAAGTACAAAAAATATCGGACGCACTAGTAATGTGATCAGAAGCGCTAGAGTCTATGATCCAGAAATTGCGATTGGAGAACAATAAACAAGTGGAAACAATACCTGATTGAGCAAAAATAGCAGTGGAGGAAGATGGAACAGCCTGTTGCTGAGATAGGAACTGGGTATACTCCTCTCAAGTAACAGTAATCAATCCAGTGTCTTACTTGGGTTCCATAACAGTGCAGTAAATAGCAAACAAGAAGTGTTACAATATCGAACCAAAAGAAAAAAAGGATGTTGAACCGCTGAACCGGGCCTGTTAAGGCTGCTAGAATACTGAACCAGTCTGGAAAATCGGCTTCAACCACTGAATCGGGCCTGTTAAGGCTACGGGAGCCCAAAACCGGACTGGAAAACCGGCTTGGACTGCTGAACCGGGCCTGTTAAGGCTGCTGGAATACTAGACCAGTCCAAAAAACTGGCCTACACCACTGAACCGGGCCTGTTAAGGCTGCGCGAGCCTTGAACCGGGCCTGGAAAACCAGCTTGGACTACTGAACCGGCCTTGCTAAGGCCACTGGAAGCCTGAATCGAACTAGTTTAGTCCTCTGGATCACTAAACCGGCCTTGCTTATGCTACTGGAAGCCTGAACCGGACTGGTTTAGCCCTCTGGACCGCTAAACCAGAGTAAAACCAGTCTGAACCAGACTGGTTGAAGCTAAACCGGATTGGTTGGGGCTAAACCGGGTTAGACCAAAATGGGTTGGACTCGATCGAATTGGGCTGGGCTAAACCAATTTAAATCTGTTGGAGCTAAACTGGTTCTAGACCTTTTTCTGGGTCTGGACCCTTCTTCGTCAAATAGGGTTACTGTAATCCTAGTCTTTGACTGTGCCACCACAATCAACCACGATCGCTACACGAACCACCACAACAACCACCACAAACCACGACTCCAACAACGATGAACCACCATAGCCACCACAGACTACGTCGACGATGAATCACCACATAGCCACCACAGACCACACGATCACAACAACCACCACAGACCACACCTCACCACCAACGATGAACCACCACAACAGCCACCACAAACCATAGTCACACCACCATGATGAACAGTACAACACCACCTCAACAGTAGACAAACAGAGCACCACCACCACCACGCTTCGACAAACACAGGCACCACCACAGTACCACAAATAAATTAATTTATTAAGAATATATTTATGATCATAATTGCTTTGATACCATGTTAAGTGTGGAGAATTAACACAATATTAGAGAGAACAGAAAGAGGTTAAAACTTAACCTACCTCTCATACATTACTTATATTTATAATTAACCGACAATAATAAGAATTATATATATATCCTCTTACTATTAACAATTTACACATACTATTCTACTATTCTTAACAACCTAAATATCACTTATAATGTTCATGTTGTTAATCAGTTTGTTATCTCACCTGCCACTATTCACTAGACTCCTGTTTCTCATATTCTTCGGTATCTTCGAGGTATTTTGGATCAAAATCTATTATTTCCTTCATCCTCTTCTATGGACCTCAATGCTTACTTAGATATTAACTGGACTAGTGACCCTAAGGATTGCAAATCTACCACTAATTTTTATTTTTTCCGTGATAATTCTTTTATTTCCTAAAAAAAAACAAGTAGGAAACTATTGTTACTCGTTACTCAGTTGAAATTGAGTACCGTACTGTGACATCTACCACAGCTGAAATAGTCTAGTTACGATGGTTGCTTGCTGACATTAACATCTCTTTATATGTTCTTACCCCAACGTATTGTGACAATACCAATGCCATATCATAGCATGCTTTCATTTTTTTCTTCGCAGATTCTTGGTGCTCTCTGCTACCACATCATGACTTTGAATAAGGGGGGATATTAGAGTATTTTAGCATATTAATATCAAGAGTATTTTAGTCGTTTATTTTATTTTATGTAGTCCTACTATATAAGGGTTTCTTTGATAAAAGTGTATAGTTTTCTGAACTTGACTAATTAAATACATTAGACTTAACAATGAAACAAATATAACAATAAACTGGAGCTAGCTACGATACTAGCCAATTCGAAATATTTGACTTATACTCTATAGAAACAACACTGGATCTCATGCTAGAAAATAGAGAGGTTAGTTTTGGTTACTCTAGTCCAGATGGTATATGATAAAGCCTAGATTTCATCAAATAACTGGATATCATCATCTTTAACAGCGCAATAAGTAACTTCCATAAAGATATATATCATTACATGTAGGAGGAGAACCAGAACATAAAGGAAAACTAAAGATTCTTTTGCAACAAGGTTGTCCAAATATGTTAGAGAAACAAATGGAGATATGACACTCCAAATATATCACAAACAAATGGAGATATCTTCCAATTATAAAAAATATTTTTCATCAAAATTAGGTTAATGATGGCTATAAGGCTCATGAGTTATCCCTTCCCAATTGTCTCCATGTCAACAAAGCTTAACCTGCAAATTGGGGTCAGTTACAGAAGTGCGAGTTTGTCATCCCCTGTACCTAACCATGATATATCCACTAACAGACTATTTGTTTTCTCTCACAGCTTGAATTTACACCTATTTTTCTTCATCTCATTTTTTTAGCACCTTTATATACTACCATCTGATATGGAAACCAACACCATCAACCTCTAAAACATATGACTACACTGTTGAGTCTGTTTCTTCTTATCCCTAGCAGATGCAGCGCTATTTATCAGGACACATATAATTTGGAAGCTGACTCGCGATCTCATGTCACCTTATTCAACCTGCATCATAAACAATCTGACATTTTGGACTACAAATACAGACATTTTATAGATCAAATTAATTCAACTCAATAAAGCACATTCCTATCTAATTAGAGTCAATCGCATCAACCTCTTCTACATCCAAATCAAATGTTAAAGAGTACATAACTTATGTAAAGTATATTGCATACCAGCTTACACTGAAAAGTTGTGAAAAACCAGAATGTGTAGTATTCTCTTCCTGAATCAGCAATGTCTATAATTGCCTCATTTTCCAACCCATAGAAAGGATCTGGAACGACTTTGTTCTTTACCAGGGTCGCCAAAACACTGCCAATGAAGCGGTCAATGAATTGTCCACTAAATAATTTCCAACCGGTCAATAAATTTTGTTTTCCAATTTCTGAATTTCAGAAGAATGAATTCCAACAAACAAAGAATAGAATTTATACTGAGAAGTTCAAGTGAAAAATTCACAAAATTCGTTACAGTTTTTACGGCAATTGAAAGGGAAGAGACAGAAATAGAGAAAGATTACGTTCCGGGGACAACAGCTTCCATCCATGGAGAAGTGGGCCCAGTGGGAGGGTGAGTGGTGGTGAGCTGTACTCCGCTGAGGTCGATCTCAGTGGATCGTGCTGCCAACCACCCTGTGTCGAGCACTGTCTTCCCTATTTCCGCCATTGTTGTTTGCCCTAAGCCCTAGACCAAACTGAAAGATCAGGGGGGGGAGGTGGGTTGTGCGTGTCGTTTGCCCGTGTTTGAGTGAAGATGAAGAGGACGAGTGTGAATTAATATTCATTTTTCCGAACCAACCGTTGAATTCTTTACCGCCACGGAGAGTTTCTTTTCTTCATTTTTTCCTTGTTACCGTCGTGGATGGAGTTACCTAAATGAAATGTTTGGATTTTACGATGAGAACTGATACCTCCGCCGGTATAAGATCCCCTTTTTTCAAGTAAAACTAGTAGAAATCTGCGTGCGAGCCCATTTTTATCGGATAATAAAAATTTTTAGATTAATGTAAATACATTTTGATAGAAAGTTGTAGATGATTAGAATGCATTAATTCTTATAGTTAATAAAGACAACCGTTAAATGTATTGTGATTTTCCTTGTTGAGTACAAAATCAAAGTGTTAAAGTGACTAATGCAAGTGTCAGTCTAGTTAAATCACCAGGTACATACATGTAGATTAATAATGTATGTATGAAATAAGGGATGGAAGATATAAATTCGATTTTTGACTAATTGAACAATCTCTAATCATGATATTGTTATTGCTTTAAACACTCTTCCAAATTAACTCAAAGAACCACCTAACATAATACAGAAGTCTCTCTCTCACTAAGGGCAGAGTTTTTCTCTCTGTTTTATAGAGTCGTTGTCTTCCTTAGGTCAAACTAATAGAAGTTTTTTGTTTTAAGGGTTCTTTTCTAGTCATCTTTAGGGGTCGGTTGTTAGAGTAACAATCTTTCTCTTGCCCATTTGTGTCAACATAGGAAGTTTCTTATAGAGGTCATCATATTGGTTATGCTTTTATCTTGTTTATCTATTCTTGTGTGCAAGTCTTGAAACATTTTGTCTGATTCAGTGCGGCTGGCTTGTTGGAACGATTCTGCCTTTGAGGTGTGTTGTTTACTAGATACTATAATGGACGAGGAGATGCAACAGCTGTGGAGAATTTTTACACTTTTGGAGGAGGAGAATCTTGGAGTTAATCTTCTAGATCAGGGATATGGTGATCTTGGGGAGAAAGGCAAATTATGTGTATTTGGTAAAGTTATGTCCGTAAGGTTTTACAATTAGACGGCTTTCAAAACTAAAGTGGAATTTATAGAGACTGGTGACAATTTGTTCCTTATTCAGTTCAATAACATGCTGGACAAGAATAGAATTCTTGAAGGTATGCCATGGTCATTTGATAACCAATTAGTTATTTTGAAGGGATATGATAGTACGATTCAGGTGTCTAATGTATCGTTTAGTGGGTGCCCTTTCTAGGTCCAAATCTATAACTTGCCANGTTGAAGGGATATGATGGTACGATTCAGGTGTCTAATGTATCGTTTAGTGGGTGCCCTTTCTAGGTCCAAATCTATAACTTGCCATTCAATAAAACGACTCAAGAAACTGCGAAAATTATAGGCAATAAGATAGGATGCTATTTGGAAATGAATTTGATAAAAGGAGTAGGATGGGGGAGATGTTTGAGAGTTCAGATGAACATTAATATTGAGAAACCTCTCCCTAGAGGTATGAATCTTAAAAGGATAAGGGGGCTTAAGTTTTACGGTGTTTTTTAAGTATGAAAAGATTGCCTCATATTTGTTACTATTGTGGATGGTTTGGTCACAGGGAAAGAGAATGTTCGTTAAGATTGGATTCAACAATCTCAGTTATGAAAGGGTCGATGTAGTTTGGGGCATGGTTGAAGGCTCCATTAGGTAGAAGTTTGAAGAATATAATAGGCCTAAGGGCCGGTGAGGACAATTTGTTGGCGGTGAAAAGTAGTGGAATTATTCTAGCTAGCGAACAAGAATCACTGGAGAAGATTCACAAAAATGGGGCAGCGGTGAATGACCCGAGTAATATGGGTGTAAATGGATCAATCTACAAAGTTAAAGGAATTTCCATTACAAAGAGTATAATTAGGGGCAGAATATGGGAAGAGAAATGATAAGGGAACTAATTGAGCCTTCAAATAACAGGCCAAATTCTTTATCCAAAGAAAGCGAGATAATTGATGATGGAAAGTTTAAGAAAGTTGAAGACACAATCTCAGTGAATAAAGGTTCTCCAGTTGTAATAATTGAGGATAATATTCCAAATGAGACAGGAAATAGCTTTAAAGGGACACGAGTTGTAAATGAGGGCCCTAAGTTGGTGGATGTAGAGGGTGGGGCCTTAGAAGAATGGGGTAGCCAACCTATTTCCACAAATGACATGATGGCCCAATGGGCTGTTAAAGACTTTATGGATATCCCCATTTCTTCCCTAGCCCAACCCAGGAGTTTACCTAAATTAGGGGAAATAGGGGTTGACGAAGAAAGCGTTCTCAAACAAGAACCAACAGCCATGAAGAAATGGAGAAGAAAGGAGAAGGGTCTTTCATCATTTGTTCAAACAAAATCCCAGAAGGATCCCAATGGCAAACGAAAGTATAGAGAAAGAAAAGAAGCTCTGGGTTCAGGTTTGGACGTGAGTGCAAAGAAAAAAGCTAAGGTGAGACCAGACTTAAGTGCTTTGAACTTGGTAGAGATGGAAGATGTAGCAGTGGGAACTGGTCTCCAGTCCCACCAATCATCATGAAAATCCTTAGTTGGAACTACCAGGGACTCAGGCATCCATGGACAATTCATGATCTATGCGATTTTGTAAAGAAAGAGCGGCCTAATTTTGTTCCTTTCGGAGACAAAGTGTAATGCTAGGAGAATTGATTTTTTTGAAAATGATGTGTTGGCTTGTGTGGAGTGGTTGTAGAGTCACAAGGGAATTTAGGTGGTTTAGCATTGTTATTGCAGAAAGAGATTCATGTGGAGTTGTAGACAGGGGGGCAGATCAAGGTAATTTGAGGCCTAAAATGGTAATACTAAATGAGATTTTTTTATTTTTAGTATTATTTTTAAAAAACCAAAAATTATTTTTAATTTTTTTTAAGTAAGAGAGGAGGATGGGATACTTTGTTTTTTATTTTTTAAGAGAAAGAGAGAGAGAGAATGGATGTGAGTAAATGGTCTTTTCCTTAGGGAAGGAAGGTCGAATTTTGGTGAAGGTGATTTTGTGAAAAATGAAAAGTGTAAAAATCTTGTGAGTTTTTGTTTTAATGAGTGGAGCCTTTGCTAAAAATGCAATGGAAACAAGTTTGGCTAATTCGAATAAGTCATTCCAATGGGAGTGTCAAATCAAGTCAAAACATTCTTCCAATGGTGTCTAGGTGTTCAATTGATTCGTAGGAAGTGAATGACAAAAATGGAGGTGTAGGCTCAAACATACCCAATGACAAGTCTATGGTGTATCAAGAGCTCACAACCACGTCGACACTCAACCTAGTCGAACCGAACACCTTACACTACGAGGGAGAATGGAGGAGAGTTGATTTAGCATACCCAAGAGAAAATCTCCCTTGAATTAGCCAACATAAAACTTAGCTACTTATATTAAATGCAAAGACATACAATGTAGAAAGAGAAATGGTAATGAAATGGAGATTAAAACTTGTATTAATGTAAAGAGAAGTTAACTACAAAGATAAGTGTATTTAAAACCCATTTGTAACAATGGTAGATTTAAAGATACATGACTAAACTTTCAATACATTTGAAATAAATGACATTAAAGTGTATTAAATGAAGATTACAAAAGTCTTATAGCTTACTACAAGTGAAATGGGTAAGAAAATGCAAAAATCCAAACTTTGTCTCTCTAAACTATGTCTTCTTCCTTGAGCTTCTCTCTCTTAAATGCTGAATAATGGTACACAATGGTGTGTCTCCCTTGAATTTTCCATGAGCCTCCTATAGCCTATGTGTGCAGGCCTCCCATCAATAGGAGGTGAGCTGATGGCTTGGACAAGCTAGGACAAGTCTAGCTTGCAACTCCTTAGGCTCCCTCCTTCTCTCTCTTCCTCATAAATGTATTGGCCTCCAAAATCTAACCCTAATGTGTAATATGTCAGGAATGTGTGGGAGAAGCAATAGTGAGAACCCCCAAGTGGTAGAGCTTGAGATTCAGAATCTGACATTTTTCAGCAAATCCTTCTGGAAGGTCGAAGCAAAACCTTCCGGAAGGTCGAAGCAAAACCTTCTGGAAGGTTTTGGCAAGGGTAGAGGTAAAAGTTGTCAAATATGCCAAAACTTTCCAAAAGGTTTGCGGTAGATCCAACTCCAGTGTGCAAAACCTTCCAAAAGGTTTGAGGTAGGTCCAACTCCAGTGTGCAAAACCTTCCAGAAGGTTTATGACCAAACCTTCTGGAAGGTTTTCTCATGTTTTGCCTTTTTCTTGATTTCTTCATCTTCCAAGCCTCTCGTTAAGCCCACCCCCATCTCCATTGACTTTGAGCATTACGATAGAGGCTTAACTCAAGCCATATCCAACTCTTTACCTACAATCACACAACTTCATTAATCGTTTGATTAATTGTATTTCTTCTCATTTCCACCAAAAAAGCAAGTATAAAAGCATACATAATGTGCAATATTTTGTGTTAATCATGGTATGAGCTTAGAATTATAAAATAAACACTTATCTAAAACTTTGAATAACAAAGAAAAAAAGGTACTCTTAAGTTCAAGGATCCAACATGCATTATATTGTTTATTTATGAAATTGCTACCTTACAACAATTAACTCCCATTTTACTAGAAAGCTAACCAGTAGGTTTGACGTATAACTGAACCATATCACAACAACTGGTTAGGTTAGCCGGAAGGTTTATGTACCATGCAACAATCAAATAACCCTAGTAAACCTAAAGGTGAACCATTCAAAAGGCTTACTCTAGCTATTCAATCGATAGGTTGATGATTCAATGATGTTGGAGTTCCAGTTTATGCATTAAATCAAAAGCATTAGCTATGACGAGATTTAACCTGCCTATAACCAATGTCCCGACTTTACATAAAGCCTAACTGAATGCATTATCGTATCATGCATGGAGTACATAATTATTATAGATAGAGTGGTGTATAACATTAAGATCTACTCGGTGTTCATATCCATGAGCATATTATAATAGTAACCATCCATCAATTGAGGGAGGTATAAACATTAATGTATAAACAAAACATCGGTATTTTCATAACTTAAACAATATCATACATGCATTCACTCTTCATCGAAGAGTATTAATAGACTACTCATGCCACATTGCTATAGATGTGCTATAGGAGTGAAATAATCCTATTACAACCGAAAATAAAATACAACAACGTCCTTTCTCAAGGAATAGTAGAAACACTATCACTCTTATTACTAGCTAGGGCACAAAAGTGGGAGATGTTCAACCTTCCAAGTAGAAGGATAAACAAAACTGTAGAAGTAGATAAAATTATGGCTGAGAAGAGATTAGGGTAGGGCTTCACACTTTCTCTATTTTCTTCCCTATTGCACTGGACTGAACTCTGATGAATCTCTCTGAAAAATGGCTGAAGCAGGCTATTTGTAGGCACCGAAAGGAGGGAGTAAGGTGCTAGACACCCAAACTACAGAATAGGAGGCCTTTGTTCCTAAAATGGACCAATGGGAGAAGAGAGAGAAGTGAGGCAGTTTAAGCACCGTCCGGATGCCACCACCCCCATTCAGACAGTAGCAATCCTCTGGCTTTCCTTGGTTGGTAGCCTCCTTGTTTGACTTTGTTGACTTGTAATTACACTTGCATCCCTTTCTTTGTTTAGCCTCTGCACTTTGATCCTCTTAAACTTTCGTATTTATGCTTGAAACCTTGCAATATGTGCAAACTGCGCATTAACCCTAATACTTTATTACTTAATCACTTTTACCTAATTTACGCACACAATTAAACCTAAAACCTAATTCATTAATGCATTATTTAGGGTTAATCATCCCACATAAAAGAAGTTTAGAGGACCTCATGCATCAATTTATCCAAAGTCAACCCACCTTTAATAATCAATATGCCCAAGCTTTCAATTACATTATAACTCAGATGACCAAGTTGACCAATTCAATGGGTGTGCTTTAGCAAGAGAAAGTAAAATTCCCAGCACAGCCCTAAGAAAATTCAAAAGGTTCACATGTTATCGAGGCCTCTAATGTCACAAATAGCAACTCACATCAATCACTAGGCTTTGAAGTGGGAAAGTGGTTGACAAGACCATTCTACCTAAAGTTTCTAAACCTACAAAAAAAGAGACTCAGGGTACCTCTAAGGAGAATGAAACACTTGAGCTTCTAGAAGTGGTCAAGTCTAATGAAATTAAATATCCTATTCCTATTTTTTACCCCTGTAGATTGAGAATGCTTGCTAAACAAACTATCAATGTTGAAATTCTTGACTTGTTTAAGTAGGTAAAGGTTAATATTCCTTTACTTGATGTTATTCAACATGTGCCATCTTATGCAAATTATTTGAAGCACCTTTGTGCCGTAAAAAATAAGTTAAATGTTCAAAAGAAAGAGTTCATGACAGAGCAAATAAGTTCTATCTTGTAAACTAATACTCCACCCAAGTACAAAGATCATGATTGTCCCGCCATTTTTATTGTCATTGGGGATTTCCAGGGTGGAGCAAGCACTGTTGGACTTAGGTGGGAGTGTCAACCTCCTACCACTGTCAATATACAAGTAGCTTGGATTGGGGAGTTAAAGCCAATGTCCATTACTCTACAACATTCAGACCAAAGTGTGAAGATGTCGAGAGGGATAATGGAGTATGTATTCGTTCATGTGGCTAGATTTTACTTCCCTATTGATTTTATTATATTTTATAT